ACCCGCACCCGCACCCGCACCCGCACCCGCACCCGCACCCGCACCCGCACCCGCACCCGCACCCGCACCCGCACCCGCACCCGCACCCGCACCCGCACCCCCGCACCCACGCACCCACGCACCCACGCACCCACGCACCCACGCACCCACGCACCCACGCACCCACGCACCCACGCACGCACGCTTGCACGCACGCACGCGAGCTCGTTCGACTCTCGACACTCTGCGCACGCGAGACGGGATCCTGTTACGCTCACGCCAGGACACCCTGAAGTGACTGAGAGCTCGCGCAATGTCTCCTTTTTGCTTTCGTGTGGACATCCAAAAGCTCCCGGGATCATTGCCGCCCGACCTTCAACATCCAGCTGAAGGGAGGGTGGGAACAAAGCAACTGCAGGGGCCCTGCAAGAAATCGCGGTAACCCCCGTTCCGGCTAGCAACGACACTCGCGCCACGCACTAGCAAGAACTGCTTCCAAAGCTGTGACCAAGTCAAGCGGAGAAGTCTATTACGAACATGTCAGCCGAACCACAACACAAGGACGCTCAACACTCACGCACTCTAACGCCAAAGGATTTTTTTTGCGCGTTTAGACTCATATTATCAAGGCCAAATGCTGCCCAACGCTCCCTCGTGCCCGTGGAAACGCAAGCAGCAAGCACCACAGCTGTCAATCACACTCCAGCCACGACCGCTTGGGCCGCTGCACGTGCGGTCAACGCCTCACCACCATGCGTTGCACACTTGGAAGGCTCACCTTGCAAGCACGCCTGCAGGGGCACATGCAGCGCAGTCACTCGACGCAAGCGCTCTCCAAGCGAGACAGCGTCGCAGCTGTGTCAGCACTCAAGCTTTGCAGAACACTGAGCATCTCTGCCATCTCGTCAGCTTGCTGCGCGTACGCCTGCACAACATTGGCACGCAGCAAGGCATAGTCCATCTCTGGCTCGGCAGCCCCTGCTCCACAGGTAGACAAGAGCAGCGCCAGCAACAAGCGAAACAAAGCATGAACCATGTGCATGGACATTGCGGTGACCTGAGACCCAGCAGGACCAGCACACACCAACGAGCAATTCTTCTTTCCTTCGCAAACCCCTGGCTGATTCTTTGAGTTGCGCGACAACCCAAAATCGCTATGTCTGCAATGACAGGTTGACTGACGACAGTGCGCACGTGTGTGTCAGTGCTCACCGCATGCACTTGTTGATTGGCTGCGCTTGCAAGCATACATGAAAGACGCGCAGCTGCACTGCTGCTGCCTGCTACGCCCTACGCCCTATCGCGTAACGCAAAGCTGAAGCAACTGAAGCCTGAAGCAAACATTGTCAGCTTGTCGCTTGCCGTGCAAGGTCGATGACCTCTTGGGGCACACAGCACCTTAGCGCTCCGGGCTGTCGGACGGGTTGGGCTCAGACGCGCTTTGCTTCGACCAGCTGGAGGACATCTGCAGACATTGCAAGCACGGCATCAAGCTCCGCGCCGCCAGGGCCAAAGCTGGCACCCACCTTGGCCGGCAAGGACTCAGCATCCGCACGCGATCGTGACTGGAGGAAGGCTGGCCAGCTCTGCTTGACAGCCAAGCTGGTCCACGGCTTGCAAGAGTCCAATCTTGGAACGAGACGTTGGAGCGCAGCAACAAGCGCACGCTGCCTTTGCACGCTGGCGCGCAGCAGCGCGCCCACCTCTTGCACTGCAACCACGGCAGCAGGGTCATGGTCTGGAACTGCCACTTGAAAGAACTTGTCACCACCACTCAACGCGGCGTCTTCGCAATCGGCTACTGCCACCTGTGCTCCCGTCACTACGAGGCACGTGTTTCCCTGCTTGACTTGCCCATCTTGGGCGACGACCCATGACCCTTGGCCTTCTTGGCATTCAGTCAAGGACAACTTGCCAGCCACAACACCTAGGCAGGCCCCGCCCAGCACCTGCAGCTTGCCTCCTGCACCTGCAAAGATCTCTGCACCCGTGCCGCCCACAACCGCATCTACGCAAGACTTTGCTGCCACACCGCTGCCTGACGCGACCACACATTGCTCCTGAGCTGCTGGGACACCGCTGACCAGCATGAAGGCAGATGGCTTTGCGATCGCCACTGCATTGGACAAGCCAAAATATCCCCAAGGTTTGGCACCACGCATCAAAACTTTCACAGCCTTTGCAGCCACTGGCTCGGGGAACAAGATTGTGTCCTCGAAGCTGGGCTCTGGCCTCGCAAGCTTCCGCCAACCCACACTCTCCTCGAAGTTACCACCATCCGAGCTGGTGAGCACTTTGACTTCTCCGGGAGCGTAGCTCCATCGCAACGTCACACCAAGGAGCTGCCTCCGCGCCTTGAACACGCCAGTCCAAGACACGCTCTGCCCAGGTTCATGGTCCCCAGCACTGCACCAATATCCGGAGGACTCGCTCGTCGCCAGGCCTGCACCGAATGTCTTCGAGGAATAGACGCTGGACGCTGTAGCCGTGTCGAACGGCGCAAGCTGCTGGGCAGCAGCTTGCAGCACAAGCACCAAGACACAACAACCTCTCATCATAATGACAGCGGACTGGCTCGCTCTCCTTTTCTTGGCGAGTTCTGAGATAAGATAGTATCGTTCCAGCAGTCCCTAACGCAATCGATACTGCTTGCACAAACACAGTTACAGAGCCACACGTGCACACACACGCACACACACACACACACACACACACACACACACACACACACACACACACACACACACACACACACACACACACACACACACACACACACACACACACACACACACACACACACACACACACACACACACACACACACACACACACACACACACACACACACACACACACACACACACACACACACACACACACACACACACACACACACACACACACACACACACACACACACACACACACACACACACACAGACACACACACACACACACACACACACACACACACACACACACTCGTGATGCAGGGGTCTCAGAGAACTCCGCACGCCGCCCGAGATCCCATGTTCGGGGTTGAGGGCTTCGGACGCCTCATTGCGGTTTGAAGGGGCTTAGGGGTCTTTGGGGGGCGGAACTCGGGGTTCAGAGGTTTACAGGGTTTGCAGGGGTTTTGCGGGGTTTTGGGGGGCTTTCGGAGCCAAGTGCCTGGTGCCCTAGGAAGTGGAAGTACGCCTTGGCTGCTCTGGGGCAGCTCTCACGTTCCTCGGTAAGGCCCGCAAGAGGGCAAAAAGCTTTGGGGTGAGTGGGGCTCCTTCCGGCTTCGGGGTTCAAAGGGATTGAGGCAGAGGGCTTATAGGGTTTGGGGGGGATCGAGTTCGGATCCGCGCAGGAATGGCGGCTGGGTGTGCGTCGATGTTTTTTTTGCTGCTTGGGGTTCATGGCGCTTGGGCTTAGACACGATAACCCCAAACCTTCAGTCCCTGGCTCCTTCCAGGTCCCTTCTTCTGCCAGGGGGCCCCGAGTTCAGAGGAGGGACCGAATCGAATTCAGGGGCCAGGGACCGGCACCCTCAGCCCGAAACCCGAAACCCTTGCGAAGGCTGGATGTCCCGAGCTTGAACAGCATCGCCCACGGCCTTTCTGGCACAAGTGCGCCATGTCAGGGCTTTGCGGCTTATAGCGCTTAGGGTGAAGTCCACGAGTCCCAACAGAAGATCCAAGTCGGAGAGCTCATACTCCCTGCAGACCCTCCGAGTGCCTAAACCTCTAACGAACCGCCCCTATAGACCCTAAAACCTGTCCTCCAAGCTCCAAGACCCCAAGCCCCGACGGCAAAGAGCTTCGCCATGATGCTTCGACGGGTTTTGGGGTGTGGTGCTCACGGCTTTCAGACTGAAAGGCTAAGGGCTGGGCATTTCAGGCTTGCAGCTTCTAGGCCCAATAATCCCTGCACGATACAAGCCTTAAACCTTCGAAAGGGTCCCCATAGGCTCTACTACTTTCATTCGCCAGGGTGAAAGGTTCTCGGGTGGTTACACCACACCAGCGCTGTGAACCCTAAACCCTTCGAACACATCGTGCAAACTCAAAGGCACTGCGCGGCCTTTGCCTGCATGCGAGTTCCTGCATGGACCGTCAGCTCATGTCTTTATGCATATTGCCGCAGGTACTAAGGGAAGCTGCCAGGCGCCAAGAGTGCAGACGTTCTTTGCTGATGGCGCTACACCCTACACCTTTGTGTTGGCTTAGGGGCTCAGAGGTTGGGATGTGACTGGAGTTTAAGGGATGGCTTTCTCTGGATGCCGCACAGCCAATCGCTAGCTCATCCAGAAGCACCGTGCTCATGCGCATCAAATCATGTGCGCTCCTCCAGATCGGCGTTTGGGACATCTACCATGCACTGCTTTATAAAACACTGTATATATATATATATATATAGTGTTTTAGAGAACATAATAGCAGCACAAAAACTGCATCGTGCCCCCTGCGCTGCATGCAGGCAATTTGTTGTGGCCAATGTACAGTAAGCCCTCCTCACATGATGTCGGGCGTACGTTGCCAAATCACCGCTGCCTTTGTAGTACTGGCTTGCTGAAGGTCATTGCGTTTTTGTGCTTTGAGCGCAACCCTGAATTCCTCATCGCAAAAATCTCAAAACCACGTCACGATGGTATGAATCGCATGTAGCAGTGGGGGGGGGGGGGGGGTTCTATGTCGAGCACTCCATGAGCTCAAGACTTGCAACGTGCCCCTCCTTGCTTTCCAGTCCAGCTTTCCAACGCACATCGTGTTTCCCTTTGTGGACCTTCAGATATACTGCTAGACCTATATATATATATATATATATATATATATATAGATATATATATATAGGTATATATCAGCACAATGATACCATAGTATCACTATCTCCATATACTAAAAATCATAGTGTAGAGATATAGTACTGAAACAACATAATCATATCGTATTGTGACAATAGAATAGCATAATCATATCACCATATATTTATAATATACTGGTTTAATATTTTGATAATTGCATAACAGTGTAAGTATCATAAGATATATTAATAGTATACTACTACAATAATATAAACACAGAACAGTTGTAGCAGCATTATACTAACTGAAGCAATATAGCAATATACTGAAATGATATTTATAATATTCTATCATGACATATTACTATAATAATCCGTTAAGATGAAGCATTCTAATATGACATTAATGCCTTATACGAACCAACAATCAGAAGTTTACAGGCTGGCAGCTGTCACTGGACATGGTGGCGGGGATGCGGGCTAGGCACCCCATCCTGCAGCAAAGCTTCATGCTTGTATTGAAAGGAGGGTTTTCCCCGGAACGCTTGAAGCACCCTGCTGGCGGGAAACCTTGCTAAGAGATGGGCTTTCACAACTTTTGTAAAACATGGTCCTGGGTTTAGGCTATGTTGTCGTGAGTCCATCAAGCATTGTCAAGCATCCGCTGGTAGCAGGCAATGATTCACTTCAGCATGTCTGCGTCCATACCGGACACCTTAGACCATTCTTAGGAAGGGGGGGGGGACCCTAAAATTCCAAATCCCTGAAGGGCATTCCAGGATGGGCTATTCGGCCTGATAATCCCCATTTGCACGCCTAAAGGGCTTTTTTAAGGAGTTGTAGGGTTAGGGTTTATAAGGTTTATGCTTGAAGGGCTTCTACGGGCAGTTCCCTAAACCCTAAACCCTAAACCCTACTCCCTAAACCCTAAACCCTAAACCCTAAACCTGGGCATTCTGTGCCAGGTCCCTTCAGCCCAGCGCCGCCTCTCTGACATCGGCCTCGGCGGTCTCCGGGTGTTGGGCTTCGGCGTGGGGACCCCCATGTTGCCTTGTTTTTTTGGAGGAGGGTGGGGGAAGGGTTGGGTAGGGTTTGGGGTTTAGGGTTTGGGGTTTGGGGGTTGGGGTTTGGGGTTTGGGGTTTTGGGGTTTTGGGGTTAGGGGGTTAGGGGGTTAGGGGGTTAGGGGTTAGGGTTTAGGGTTTAAAATATGGGGAGGAGACTTCGGGGTTTAACTGGGCTGTTGGGGATACTTTCACTCCATTTAAAGCCTACCGCCCCGAGCTCCCAAATCCTGACACATACAACGCTGCGACGGTTGTTTCGCGGAACTGCTCGCGCAGGCACCGGTCTTTCTGTCGACGCCCTCCTATCGAGCACACCAAAAGCCTCCCTGAGCCCAATGTGCCCCCGCGCTCCACGATAACGAGCCCCCCCCCTCCCCCCCACACTAAAGTCCTTGGTACTCGTAGCTGGGTGAGGGCATATATATATATATATACTGTAAGTGAGGGTATATGCCCTGTAAACCCTGCGAGAACACACCCTGTATACAACCATACAAGGATTGAATCCGTGCAAGAAGGCCGGTCGTGGAACTCTCCGAGGTGTCTGCTGCTTTCGGCGCTTCTCGCCGAGGGTCCGCTTCTCGGAGCCGGCAGCCACATTTTCTTTGCCTTCGTGGCCCTGGTACACAGCAAGCTTTTGGGTTCTTTTTGCACCGGACTACACCTGTGTTGGAATTTTGGGGCGCTGGTGCAGCTGGGAGTCTCAAGCAGAAGGCCGCAAGCCCTACCCGCACGCCCTCCAGACCTGAAGCCTCAAAGTTGGTGCAGCGGGGTTACTGCCATCTTGCAAATCAAGGGGTTGAGAAGGCTTGCGCGTGGATGTTGTCGCCGGCAACGTGATCCTCGGCCGCTTTCTCAGGCTTAGCAGCTCTCTAAACCCTAAGCCACACATCCGCCTTCCAACCCGGTCAGGGCTCTCACCGTCCCCCGTTCCTCTTGATCGGAGGGTTCATGATGGCAAGCGTGTTAGTCAGAGCGTGGTTCCTTCGGCCGTGATCAGTGTAGGATGTTGAGCCCTTGTTGTGTCGGTTTCGTGTTCAAGTTCGTAGTGCTGTAGGACATTTGTCAAGAGTGGGGGGTGCAATGGCGCGCGCTAGGCCATATATCATTTCGCAAAACTTTCAGGTGATCTTTCGACCGCCTCGCGAAGAAGCCGTTGGTCACAGGCACGTTTGGGGGCACCCCTATAATATCATGCCCATGTTCTGACAGGGATCCAAAACAACCTGCCAACCTGGTTTGGGGCTTAGGGTGGGCCCCCAGCCAAAACAGAGCCCCCAAAGCCACAACCTCCTAAATCCCTAAACCCTATGCCCCCCCTAGGTTTGCGGTGGGTTTACAGGGAGTCCGGCTCATATATTCCGACCAAATTATAGCAGAACCCCTCCTAAATGGGCCCCACATGAAACCTCGAACTGTCGGAATTCCCTAAAGACAGAGAGGCGCTGTCCACGCTTTCTTCGTTCGAGGCGGATCGGCACGTCCTTGCGGCTCAGGGCGTACATACGCAATACATATATATATATATATGTGTATGTCTATGTATATGTTTTTGTATATGTACGCTACCATATATATATATATAGAGAGAGAGAGAGAGAGACAGAGAGAGAGATGGTTGTTACATGGAAATTTGAGATGAGCAAGGCTCCGACCCCAACCCCAAGTCTGAACCCCCCCTCAACTACCAAAAGCAAGCCCGTCATATTGGCCCTTCAGGGGCTCTATGGGCTTAAGGGGCTTTGGGGTTTAGGGCTGCATGTCTTGTTTTCCTGCGGCCCTCGGAAGTAGGAGTTTGGCACGTTTCCGTGGACATGTTTAACCTAAACGGCCCGGCGTGGTTCCTTTTTGTTCTTGGAGTAGGGGAAGCTCCGATTGCCAGGATGCCGAGTAGTAGGCACCTCCAGCTCTAAGCCCCAATAAGCCATTCATTCCATGTGTTTACAGGGTTAGGTTCCCTTATGAACCCCGTGAATATGCGGCCTTGCCAGGCCCTTGGACTCCGACCAGATCAGGTGACCTTCTCCGCCGTGCCTGGGCCCGAGGCTTCATAAAGCACGGGCAGGCTCATGTCTCTGAGGGAAGTTACAAGGTCCCTTTACATGGTCCCTTATACCTCCTTGTTAAAGGGTTCTGAGGCATGGGCCCTTGATCTTTGTAGGGTATAGAAGGGAAGGGGTATATAAAGGAGTCCCCATTTACGTGCCCTACTAAGGAACCATGCCGCTACCCTGAGAATGTCATGAAGGGGTTCGGGGCTTAAGGGCTTGAGTGCTGCAAAGCTGGTTCAAAGGGTGTAGATTAGGGCTTGTAAAGTTCGTTCGGGCTACGGGGTTTAGGGTTGTGTTGAGAACCCCACACCAGGAAAGTAGTAGTCGGTTCTTGAAATAATCGATCACATGCCTCTTCATGGGACCACTCTTGCGTGATGACAAGCGATCTACACGGCTGCCCTGAGCCAGAAGATTGCGGACTAGTGTCAACAAACCCTACAGACTACATACCTTAGGTGCTGAGTAGACATAATCTTGACGGGATGGAAAAACGCTTAAGCGAAAAGGCGAACCCTTTGCCCTTTCAAAACTCAGCCAGGAAGAGATTCTTGACCGGTAAGCACGCTTTCACATACTTGAGCCGCGATGGACTGTCTGACCCTCAACCCTGCCGCCCCATGTCAACCGAAAGAACTCCCAAACACCCTGCATGCTGGGATGAGACCTTCAGAGCTTCGCAGTGAGGGCATCATAGTTGGACGTGCCGGGCACACTAAGCATGCCAAGGCTTTCGGCATGCGAGCGCAGTGCGCGGTGGCTGGAGGCATGGCCGAAAATCTGAATCCTACACGTCCGAAGTAGCCTGCAACTTCGTTGCTTACATGCGAAAAAATACGAGAGTCCAGCAACGGCGACCGTACCGAGCGCGGACGATGATGCGAGGATGCGCATCCCAAAACGACGACATTCACGAGGATGTCAACCCAGAACCCATGATCTCCGTGACGGCTTTGAAAAAACCCAGCCACACTGCTCCATCCCGCTTCTTGAAGCAGGCATCGTCTCTGCTTTTGCAGCGCATGCTGGGCCGGCTGGCATCCCAGACGTCCTGGCCTTTTAAGTCTACGGCTTAGAGGGCTGAGTGGTACCTCAAGGACATGTTTGTTCCCAAGGTCCCTTCAAGAGATTTCCTCAGCATGAGGTCGCAGGGTCTTCGGTTGAAGAAATTTTGGGTGAAGGGTTTAGGGGAAATTATTGTGTTGTAGGGCGTTTTGCGACCTTAGCTGCTCCAGAGTCCATGCATGAAGAGCACCCATGAAATCCCCGCAGTCGCTTGCACTAGGTTTGGAGGCTTATGGAGGTTTGCGAAAATAGGGGACCCCCAACAAGTAGGATTCCCATATAGTAAGGGCCCCAAGAAGGTACCCCGAATTTCGGAATCCCCCTTATAAGTCTTCTAGGGATTTCGGGGCTCCAGGTGTGATGAAAGAGTCTTGGACATGCAGGTTAGTTTCTAAGGTAGTCAATTCGTGACATTCAGGAGTTAGAAGGCCCAGAAAAGAAGCCCTTATACTTGGGGCCTCTTAGCGAATCAGATGAACAAGGAAAAGGGCGTGTCATGAGACTGCAAATAGCCCGTCAAACACGACTGAATTTCATGGGTTGTTTGCTCGTAGCATCGTCTAGAAGTCTTCACGAAATCTTCAAGCCACTGCTTGGAAGCACCGTAGAACCAGGCGCTACACGCCAGATCGCATCGCCTGCAGCATCGCAGTCAGCCAGGGCCCCACACTGAGGTCTCTGCACCTGACCGGCAGGGCGTTGGGTTCAAAATCTAAAGGGTCTCTTGGGCTCAGGGAATTTTTGGGTCGAAAGTTCAGCGGTTTAGGCAGGGTCAGGAAGAGACCCATGTATCGATTTGATGATGCTTTGCTGGTGAAGCCTGGTGGGAAGAGGCACCTCGCACGCAAGAATTGTTCCCATATTTCCCTCGTAACTCCATAGGAACCCTAAATAATTTTCCAATAAGAAGGACCTTCAGATCAAACCCCATCACGCAGCTCTTTTCTGAGCATCGCAGTCGAGGGTTAAAGAAGCCCCAAGAAGCCCGAAGACGAGCAAGCAAGAAGCTGCAGTGTTTCTTTTCGTGGTCAAAGCATTCGAACTTGCTGCAAATCTTTCAAGCCCGCCCCAAGCTTCTTTCCCTCCCCCCAACAAGCAAAGCAAGAGCACCCTCCCTAAACCCGTAGTACACTATACATTCCTAAGCCCTAAACGCTTTTCAGCCCGAGCCCGTGGATTTGTTCTTTCACGGGTTCATTCCTTCCCGGGAGGTGCATGCAGCGAAGCCTCGGAGACCGACAAGGCTCAACAAACTGTTCGGGGTGCAAGCGCTGGGTTGCCATGTCAGACAGGAGCCGAGGTCGTTAGCAACACTTTTCTACAAATCATCCTGTCACAATTATGCTATATACAATTCCGTGTCGGTTCTTGACGAGTGGCATCAGCAGTACGAGTGGCATCAGCAGTATGCCAACATCAAGACGAAATTTGAGTACTTTCTCGAGAAACTACAGTAACGGCAAGACACTGTTGCATACGCCATGACAATCTGCCACTATTTGAGTCACAAACTTCATTCGCTTTCGACGCACAAGACTTATGTCCGCTTTACTCAACCTACCCATTCTACTTAACTGGGCCTTATGTTAGATTGGGCTCACCACGAAGGGTTTGCCTGCAAGTACTTGGCACTGTGAAATATCAAAGGTCGGTGAGTACAGGGCTTCGGTATGGTTTCGGCTTCTAACGCTTTAGGGTCGGTGCCTCGGGTCTGGGGACCTACGCAGACTTGTTGAGCGATCTGGCAACCTGTCTTAAGCCCTAAGCCCAGGCAACCCTAAATTCCAATCCCCGAAATCCAGGCGCTTGGTCTCCTCAAGGCTATGGAGAGTGCTCTGGTGGAGGCGCGCTTTTTGGCTCATTGGAGCGTGTTCCAAACTGGGGGAGTATCTGTTTTGGGTGTCCAATTATAGTAGGGGGACCGGGGTTTTGGGAAACACCTAAATCAGAGTTCTGATGCGGGTACATGGCGGGACTGGGGGCTGTGCTACAACATTTGCGGAAAAAAAGACACATACAGGACATGTGCCGATAATGCCCTGCCGCCTGATGGAAGAGCGAATACTGCATGGCTCGCCCAACCGGCCCAGTGCATTACGCATACCTGCGGAAACAAGATCCAATAAAGAGGCACCGCATGATGTTTCAATGAAGGCTAAGGTTCGTGCGGTTCTATTTATGGGCGGGCGTGTATGCTTTCGGGCATGCAGCGGTTATTGTCTGAGGGCGAAGACAGGATCTGCTTCGTGCTGGGGTTTACATGCACTTTTTTTCACCTCAAGGACCAACACGTAAGGCTGTTCTGTGTAAAGTGCAATGTAAAGACCACCTGTCAATCCCGATGTACGGCTGGGTCCACAATAGTCAGGTGCTTCGGACACACGCACGCCACACCTTCCCGGGCTTCGTACAGGTAGGCGCCAGCGCTGCCATTGCCAGCTTTGCAGCAGCGGGGCTCACGCCTCAGGGATTCGAGAGGGTTAAGGGGGCTGCAGTTGGGGCTTTGCGTGGCTTTGTGGCAGCTTTGAAACCCCGTGGTGTACCTTACCTTTGTACCCGTAGACATCAAACCTGTGTTGCCGTAGAGTTGTAATTTTCATGCACTTTATGCACCAAGTGCGCACACAGTCCCCAAGCCTTGTTCAGGCGCTGGGCTGCTGCTGTCGCATGGCTCTCCACTGCCAGAGCCGATGCAGATCCGATCGCGTGCCAAAGACAGAAAGAGGGAGAGATCCAACGAGCGAGAGAGGGAGAAAGAGGGGCAGTGTGGTTTAGGTGTAGGGTTTAGGGTTTAGGGTTTCGGGTTCAAGGTTCAGGGTTCAGGGTTTAGGGTTTAGTTTAGAGGTCATGAGAGCGGGTCATGGCGAGGGTGGCGTCAACGGCAGGTACGGCGCCTGCATCGCGACCTGCGAAAAGAGCCAGAAGTGGGAGTTGGCCAAAGGCTTAGAACAGGTTAAGCCGGTGCCAAGCTGGCAGTCAAGTACCCGAGTTATTTGATTTTGGGCTTTACTGTGGTCAGGTTCAGGTTTGGAAAGTGTTTCACATGCTCATGATCCCGAATTTCTATTTCAGCCCATAGAACGCCCATAGAAATCTGATGTTTGCATGGAGCTCCCATGTCCAGCCCAGCTCAGAGTTTCAGAAGCCAAACCTCTCCCTATAGACCCGAACCCCCACGCCCTAAGCCTTCGACCCTAAACCCTACAACCCCAAAACCATAAAACCCGACAAGCCCAAAACCCTAAAATCCTAAAAAAAGGAAAGCAAACCTTACAACCCTAAACCCCTAAAACCTTAAACCCTAACAGCCTGCAACCCAAAACCCTGCACCCACCCCTAAAACCTAGAGACCCGAAGACGCCTAACTCCCCAAGACCCTAAAACCCTAAAATCCTAAAACCCTAAAACCCTAAAGCCCTAAAGCCCTGAATCTAAACCACCCTAACACCCCCAGCTTTAAGGCCGAGCTCCTCCTCCGCCTTGCCTGCGAAGTTGACACGGCTCCCGGGAGCCGGGGGGCCCGGTGCGCAGATTGCATGCTTGGGAGTCAGTTGTTGCTTTCCTGAAGAACATACCCCTGCCAAAATGACAGCAACAGTAACAATAACAATGATAACAATAGCAATAATATTAATAATCATAGTAATAATCGCAAAAATAGTACAAAAACTAAAAAGGAGGCTTTGAGTCAGGGTTTTGGTAGGTTTGCGAAACATCTTCTCATGGGCTTCGTGGCAATAACCACCATGAAGCAGGTTGTGCGCTCTGAAGGCAGGGATTTGGGCAGTGGTGCGGCTGTAGCGTTTCACAAGCTCTAGGGCTCACGCTGAATACATCCCAAAGACACCAGGCCTTGATGCTCGACCAGAAGTCTTCAACACCAGGGTTGAGGGTTTAGGGTTTAAGGTTCAGGGTTCAGGGTTTAGGGTTTGGGGTCCAGGGTTTAGACTAACAGTGTCTGGGGTTTCGAGCCTTGAGTTCCCAACCGTAGACAAGCCCCAGGTATCCTTTGCAACTCCTGCGTCAGCGCATACAGGCTCGTTCGAGAGAATGGCGGAATTGGACTGGAAGTCAGTATTTGGAAGTCAGGACTTGCATTGGTGTAGGTTTTAGGCGGCGTGGTGTTGTGG